CATAATCACAAAGATGCAATGAAATTTTCTTTTATTTAATATAAAGGAAAGAGTAAACGATTGAAAAAAAAGAAAAGAAGTTAGAGAAGAAAACCTCGAAAAAACAAAGAAAAAAATGATATATTTACTTATAAATCATTAAGTTTATCCAATATGAGATAATAATCGAAATTCTTTGAGAATATACAAACAAACACACAGACACACACACACACACAGTTTCTCATTTATTACTATTCAAACTATTTGAGACAATTTCAATAAAACAAAATAAAAATGTTTTGAGAATATTTTTTCTTATAGTGTTAGGCATGAATTTTACTATTTAAAAAAAATAAGTATGTCAAGGTCACCTAAAATGTATGGATGGCATGAAATAATGATTTAAACAAAAAAGTTATCAATGTAATGTAATGTAGTAATGTATAACTAATATATTTATAATTATGCTTTAAAATAATAGAATTCAATTGAAATGTAGATTCTATATGAACTCAATAAATATTGTATGTTTGTCATAGAATGAATAATATTCTAAGTGAAGTAAAAGCAATGAAAACACACTTGGCACACAAGGTCTATACTGAATTTGAATGTAAGTTATAAGTTGATATGATCTTGATAAGAATAATGAATGGTAAATGTTGGGATCAATTTATGGTCTAATACATATATATATATATATATATAGTATAATTGTTAAGCAACTAAACGATGTATATTCATATTCTTCTTATTATAAGCTTTATTTTAACCTCTAGACTATTATACACTCGACTATACTTGAGTTATGCCTAGTTTATTAATTACAGTCTCTCACATAAATAACTACTATTGGTTTGATCTTGTACAAATGTTATTTTCTATTTTATGGTATGATGTGGTCTGTTTGGTATGTGTATAAACCTAGTACGTTTGAAATACACGATTAATAATATGAAGGCCAAGATTTGTGTTCTGGATTAAACAGGCAGGAAGGATCAATAAAACTGTAAACTGGTCGTACGGGTTTATGCGTCATTAGTCCGATTGATAAGTCACTGTTCTTTAATTGTCGGTCTCTTTACATTATATATTGATAGGGCATAAGACTACAACTTATAATATAATTATCGAGTTAGAATACGCAGATGATATCGTCCTGTTTGGTGAAGACGCTGATAAAATGCAGAGTCTTCTGGTAGCACTAAGCAACAATGCCAGAATGTTTGGAATGCGCTTCTCTCCCTCTAAATGTAAGTTGTTGCTTCAGGACTGGTCTGAGTCAACACCTGAACTAAGGATAACGAGTGAAGTAGTCGAACGCGTCGAAAACTTCACTTATCTTGAAGTCTGATCAGCCCTAATGGGTTGGTGTGTGACGAAATCTCAGCACGGATTCGGAAAGCTCGTTTGGCTTTTGCCAACTTACGTCACCTGTGGCGAAGGCGAGATATCCGTCTATCAATAAAAGGACTAGTATACTGCGCAGCAGTCCGTTCTGTTTTAATTTACGGCTTTGAAAGGTGGCCTTTAAGAGTCGAAGACATTCGTAAGCTACTAGTATTTGATCACAGATGCCTTAGAAATATTGCGGGCGTCTGCTGGGATCACCGGGTAAGTAATAGTGAGGTTAAACACAAGTATTAGGGAACGATGGTAAATCAGTTGATGAGTATGTTAATCTTCATCGACTGAGATGGTTGGGTCGCGTGTTACGTATGCCCGAACACCAAATACCACGGCGTGCAATGCTAACCGGTGTTGGGATGGTTGGGAGAAAGTTAGGGGCGGCCAAACCAAAACGTGGCATCAGTGCTTGAAGTCACTAACTTGTAGTCCGAGCCATGTTGGTAGATGCAGACTACTTGGTTGGGGTCCGCGTGACTATCGTAACCAATGGTTGGAGACTCTTGGTGAAATGGCTCAGAATCGATCACAATGGCATCGGTGTATACACTCCCTGTCTTTCCTTAAACTAAGAGATTAAAATAGCTTCATATCTTTTTTTCTACGAATTCTTTCTTCCTATACTATATCCTTATATGCAATCTTTCTTTTATATATTACCACAACTGAATTAACTACTTTTATGAGTCCGGTGTTCATCTTGTTGTGTTAATGAGGCATGGTAACTTGGACCGATGCATATCTGTGCCTGGTCCTACGTTGTAGCTGACTGACTGACTATAACATAATTGATTACAGATACTGAGGTGTCAAATATGATTAAAGTGCTTATCTATCACATTATTATCGTAGTTTACGGGAGAGTATTATGGTGTTTGTAGCATGAACTTATGGTGTATTTAAAACTTTTGAGTAATTATAAAACTATGTTGAGGAAATTCCAAAAAAACATCTATTGAGATAAATAGTTCAATATTTGATTGTATTATATTTGAAATCGTATAGTTGTATAAAACAGTCAAACAATTTTCATGTCAGTTTCCCCTTGTGGTTAACATACACTTATTTAGTATAGATAAGATACTGTAGACTTAAATTTACCACTAAAGTCAGGAAGATGAATTCTAATTTTGATAATGAACTAATTACCTGTAAATTCAGAAAAATGTTCAACATTAAATAAACATGATTTTTAAAATATTGTTTTTATCAAAAAATGTTAGACTTTTTCAGATATAATGTCATTTCAATTTATGTATATTATCACAGATTGAAATCATGAGTCAGTTGAAGCTAGACCACTATCAGTGGTCTAATGGTTAAGTGCTCGCGCATGAAGCCAGTAGGTCCTGGGTTCGAATGCCGCGGGGTGCGGGATCGTGGATGCGCACTGCTGAGGAGTCCCATACTGGGGCGAAACGGCCGTCCAGTGCTTCCAGGTTTTCATTGGTGGTCTAGCTTCAACTGACGCATAATTTCAATCTGTGAAAATTTCTAAAAATCTCCACAAACCCCTTCTGATATTATGTATATTAAACAATTTGTCGTAGATGCTTATGTGGTGTAAGTCAATTCACCATAAGCTTTTAGTAACGAATGTTACAAAAAAAGTATAATAGAATACATAGGAATTATGCAGCGAGTAGTACGTTTGAAATGTTTTCGTTGTAAAATGAATAGCAGTCAGGAAGTTAGTTCATTTTAAATCTGAGATCTTCAACAATTTGCTTAGAATTGAACCAAACATTGATTGATGTACATCCATGAAGTGAGAGATATAACTTGTCAAATGGAATGAATATCATGCATTAACTCAATATGTCTCCATCACTTGGATAATATAACGTCAGTGGACTAAAAGCTTTGATAATAAACATGAATGGGAGTGCTAGTTAAGATTAGACTGTATCACATGATAATTTATGTATATCGAGTAAATAATTTTTAGAAGAATAAGTGAACTTTTAACGTAATTGAAGGTTACGAAAGGAAACTAGGTTAATGAATGTGGTGGTTTACAGCATATTGTACACTATTATCTTAAAGACAGTTCTCAGAGATTCTAACATACATCGTTCACTATTGTAATTAGTGAAATTACTGTTGGATTGTTTTCAACCACTTAACGCCAAAACAGACAACTATAATGAATTACTTACCATTTGACAAAATCCTATCATTATTACAAACTAAACAGTATGATATATGTTCTTATGCCATGATCGGTTGGTGTGGTATCTTTACATTTATTCCCTTTTTCTATAACGTTATTTCCACATATATGGCCTCTTATGAGGACGAGTAGATTGAATCTCCTCTTCCCACCGAAATGATCGTAAAGACGAGGCGTTTAGTTTACTTCCTCTAGTGTTTTTCTGGAAGTGGACGAAAAGCAAAAATCAAAACTGGTCAATCGATACAGAGTACCTCCCCAGGGGATTTGCAAAACCGATTGCCATGGGATTGTATTTTCTGATAGTGTTGTACTATCTTGCGGACTAGATCTTTAGGTTGCATGCTAGGGTAGAAGATCTCTAAGAAAATCACCTACTTCGCTTCGAGCACCCAGGAAATAATCCATACAACAGAAATATGAAAAAAAAAACAAATATTTTGAGAGGTAGCAAGTTAAAGCATTCTCTACACCAGACAGTGGATGGTTCACTACATATAACTAAAGGTAATAAGATTACTGAGATATGGGTAGTCAAGCTACGCACATACTAATGGAGAACAATTTTTATACCCGATAAATATAACTATAAAACGTCAGCCAACATTTCAAAACAGAGTTACTGAACGGGAAAATATGTACTATTCGTTGCAACTGTTAAAAGGATCACATTAAAATATGTGCGAAACCGACTACTAGATTAAGTGATGGATATGCATAAAATGAACTATTTAGCTTATATTTTGTTGCATACCTTCCAGCTGTCTATGCCAATATGGAAGAGATTTCAAATTATAGGCCTCTGATCACTAATATTAACAGTTTAATTTGCCAAACAGTAAACTAGCTCATCACGGAGTCAAAATATATTTTCGACGATGCATAACCTAAAATCTGTTTAGAGCCGGTCGTCGATTACATTCAAAATCCAATTCTATATTTTGCTGGCAGATTTCGCCTTGTTTGTTTTCGAATGAAATGATGTTTGACATTTTTACAATTAACTGTTTCTACAACAACAGTGAGAATCAGTATTAAAGTTAAACAGACGATAATTGAATTTTCATTATCACTTTGTGGAGATTACTGAATTTCAGTGGTCTAGAGGTTAAGCATTCTCGTGCGACCGGAGGTCATGAATTCGACTCCTACGTGCGAAGACGTGAGTGTACACTGCTGAGGATTTCCACACTAATACGAAAAAATCATCCAGACTATCAATAGTAGTATCACTTAAATCGGTTCATGATCCAAATAATAATTGAATTATTAATGAAACTCTGTCATTTTTCTATAACAACTAACTAGAACAGTGCGTCAATGATTAAATTATTCGGCTTTCAATGACCAGATCACAGCTTTAAATCTAATTTCATCTACTTCTGTTTGGGTACTCAGAAAACAAAAATCACTAGCTCATAGCATACTGAGAATGTGGCATACAGTTAACTACACAAATCTATATCGGTTAAATGAGTTATGCTTGATTATTATATTGTTATAAACATTTAATGAACAGATTTGAAACAGAACAAATCCTACATTTGATTGTTAGTCATTAGCATTTACTAAAGGGTACAAAAAACACTGTTTTTTTCCTCTAAATTATCAATGAAACAAAGATGTAACGTAATAATTGAAACAGGCAAATCATTCTTAGTTTAAATGGTGTTAAGTATATACGAAATCATTATTTAGTTCTAGAGTTTATGGTACTCTTCAATCATATGGGAACTATGTTGAATTTTCCTTACTACTCACTTCTCTCTATCACTATTCCCTCTTATTGATTGATTTTTCCCATAAACTATGTAATATTTGCAAGGGGAAAGCAAAAAACAAGGACAGCATATTCTTTTCCAAAAATATTGATAAATTTAATAACTACACTATTGCTATACTCTTTTACGTAAGATAAAACTCACAGAAAGAAAGCCAATTAAGAGAAGCTAGCAAGCAATTGAAAGAGAAGTAATGGGGAGGGGAAATAAACTAAGCAAATAGTACATGTTTTCTGTTTTTGTTTTTTTTTCCTATAAAATACATAACAATAACAATAATAATGATAATGAAAGAAGTCAGAGAACTAGAATCGAAATCACTAAGGCAAATAAGGCTAAATTATTGAACAAATATTAAATCTCAAATAAAGAAAACAAAACATCTCTGTGAAATTGGTATATAAGTCCGTAGGCGTAGGCGGTGAAGTAGATGATACATGCATACAATGAATGTTCGGTTGGACAGGTGAGCGCGCACGCACGCACGCATATACAGAAATACTAAGGCGCAAAGAAGTGCAGGAACGAAGGTACTACATGTTCGACTAATAAAAGAATATTAATATTATACTGAGTATCCGGTTTTAATAATAAAAAAACGGCTGTTGTTATTATTAATACTATGATATTGTCATCACACTTATCAGTAGTAATAGTAGTATAATTGATACATTAAAAAGCGGTTATAATCATATTGACAATTAGTGACCATTTTAATATCCTGAGAAATATCCCATATATATATTCCATAAAATAGTGATTATCTGTCCAGTGAAGAGAAAGGATTGTTGTGGAGGCACACAGTTAGTTTGAGTGCTGGTCAGTTTATAATCTATTTGAAATGGATCTCACAAAGGGTTTATCAAAACAATAAGAGTAGCTTGGCGACAAAAATATATATGGTCTTTTATCAGACAAAAATAACCTGAGTGCTATAAATATTTTCTTCTTTGTTCAAACGGGATAAAGACTAGTTGAAAAAAAGACAAGGAACACACGTACACATTAGTATAGAACACAGTATGACCGAGAAGTTAAGCTTCAGAAAGTACCTCAGACTTGACTAATTCCTTGTTTAGTTCATCTTGACAACCGACTACACGTGTATTCATCAATGAAATACGACACCTAATACAGACTAATACGATGAAAGTGCAAACTAGTACAAAGAAACAAGTTAACGCTGCTGCTCCGATTAGAAAAGTCATCATAAAACGATCTCCATGTAATAATGAAGAAAATGATAATGATGATGACCAATATAAATTATTCAACACAGGTGACAACTGATTATTGTCATAATTATAATTGTGTGAAAGTAATGGTTTGAATAAATCGAGTGAACGGAAATCTGGCAGATTAATCGATGATAAATAAGCCATTAAACTATGTATATGAATTGGACGAATTTCTTTGGTAAAATTTAATTGAACACCACGATTAGAATTTGGACCATAAATAAATAATGGAATATGCATGTCAGGTAGTTCTGGATCATAGCCATGCATTCCTTTAGGATCGATTAAATTGTAATGACTCATATTTAATGGCCATGCATTGGAATGAAATATATAATCCGGTGAAGCGATTAACAATATCGGTGGAAATAATGAATTATTATTATTCGTCATAATTTCCCAATGTGAAGGGATTGTCGATGAATTGTATACAGTGAAAGGAGATTTACTTTGTTGAATTAGTAAGCGATTATAAACCTAAATGTTTCGAAGATGAAAAGAAAAGAAAGCAATTGTGAAGATGAAAATCTACTAAATAACATTAACTTAGAATAATCAATTATGAATATATATCTTCAATATGAACTTCAAGACAGTACTACTGTACGGAACTGAAACTTCGAGAAGTACCACAAACATCATCAAAAAAGGTACAAGTATTTATAAACAGTTATCTACGCAAGATAATCAATGTTCATTGACTGGAAACCATCAGCAACAGCCTACAGTATGAGAGAACAAACTAGCTTCCAGCGGAGGAGGAAATTAGAAAAAGAAGCTGAAAGTGGATAGAATATAAATGGAAGAAATCAAAGTGCATCATGAGGGAAGCGCTTACCTGGAATCCTAAAAATAAACGAAAAAGTGGAAGGCTAAAGAACACACTGCATCAACAATCGGAAGCAGACATGAGAAGGATGAATAGCAACTGGAAAGAATTGCCCAGGACGGGGTTAGATGGAGAATACTGGTGAAAGGTAGTGATTATTGATTAAATCTATATGATTAGGACTCAAATGTATGGTATAGTGAAAAAACGTCATACTGAATAAAATACATAACGAAAATGACCATGATACACTAAAATATAATTCTGAAATAATCGGTGATCTTATACTTCTTACTACTTGTTCTCCTTAAAGAGTAGTAAAGTTTCTCTATTGATCTTACGGAAATTTTCTTTTTTTATGAAATTGTTGGTTTTAAAGGTATGTCCCACCATGGCGTACTATTTAGTTCCTTCTCAACTGATGGTTCCGTGTTGATATTTGCAACTGGTCAACAGGATGGGGTAAAAGTTGTCAACTTGATAGAAATGTAACTTGGTTACCCACTTCAGGTTTATGAATTTATCATCTAAGTCAGACGGTTATGGTGAGGGATAACAAACTACTCCCGGTGAAGTTGGATTTAAACCCATAACCTACTAATTGAAAGTAGAGTGCTCTAACTACTAAGCCATCACTCTAGACATTAATATCTCCATTTTGTTTTGAACTGTTATAGAGAAGGGTTTTTATAAAACTTATGATCATAAGCATGCTTTACTTGTTAAAATGATGATTAGTAGATAATCTGTAAAAATACAATATGTTCGATGAACAAGTCACTTCGTCATAATTAACGTAGAGAGTGGTATAAATGTAGGCTGACCCAAGTTGCTACACACAAGACTATTGAGATTGCCAAATATCGAAATAATAAATGCAGGAAAAAACTAACTTTAATCTCATTAATCAAACGTAGGATATTGATAGAACAATCAACATGAATGTAAATTTGCATACTAAACTTCGGGATTACAATTGAGGTTTTAAAAAATTAAGAAAAGGAACTAGATAAATGGGGGTTATTGATGTGTGGGCATAAATGATCATGATTGGTTGTCTGCTTAGTCAGACATGCAGATAGTCTGACAGGTGTCAGATAAGTTATATATTCGATTATCCTTATTATTGGGACGCACTTATTATTGATTGTTCATTGCTGTGGATTGTGTCGGTTTTTGGTGTGGAAATATATTTACGTTGTGGTCAGGCTAATTACGTGTTCTTGATCTAAGTTGTGTTGACGTCCTGTAGAATAGACACTGGGAAGGAATCTAGTGTAGATAATCATTTAAGGTAAATTAACGTCCCACACGTGTAAACGTGGAAACCCAACCGTTATAACATCAGACGAAGTAAAACCAAGCGTTATAACAGTTATATTGTTAAACACAATGACAGATAAGCGGTAATCAATGTGTTGAATTTTGCTGAAAACAACTTACATTGTTTTCAAATTCTGGTTTAGGCCAGATCCACAATGTACTTCCACGATTCAGTACTCTATCCAACTCAGAGCTACAAACAAGGAAAAGCAACAAAAAAATACATCACCTTTAAAAATTGACGAGTAGTTGTACAACAGTTACAATAACTCGACTGGTATACAAAATGTCCAGATCTATACTGGTTTTGTACGATGATATCACTTGTGTAAAAATGGCTTAAACGTCAACAGGATTAATATAGTCATACTATTCGTGATTTAAACTGTTAAAATTCTAAAATCTCCACAAATTCCCTACACTACTAATAGTGATGTTCTCACTGATGACTTGGTTTGAGATGTAACTCATGGAGTTCTAGTGCGATATCGTGACCAGTGAAGTCTAAGCCGTGTCGGGTGTGAAACAGCTATCCAGAGTAGGCAAACGATGATGGTTGCGCAAGATCATGGATTAACTGAAGTCAGATATTAACGCGGCAAGATGTCGGCCTAGTGACCTAGAGGTTAAGCGGTTGCGCACGAGAGCGAGGGTTCTGGGTTCGATTCTGATTGAGAGTTCGTTGATGCGCACTGCTGAGGAGTCCCATGCTATGGTGAAACGGTAGTTCAGTGCATCCAGGTTTTCAGTGGTAGTCTAGCTTAGATAGACTCATGAATTCAACTGTGACAATCTGAATTCATTGAATAATGAAGAAAAAATAATGTTAATCAATTGTTTTAAGAATTATGAAACAAGGCACGAAGATTTTTTTCAACTATTAAAGTACTGATTTGTATGTTTAACTTTAAACTGTGTTGTGCTTGAGTGTGTAGGAGAGGGACCGATGATATTAATGCAATCTATTAATATTGAAAGTTTAAAATTTTAGACGTGTTGCACCCAAACACTCTATTAAACGTACGTTAAAATAATGCCCAAAATTAAAGACAACAAGCATCACATGAAATAACCCATATAATATCTCTTCTACACTAATAAGAAACTAAATTCCTTAGGACGAACAATGAACGATTTGTCAACCCGATCTCTCTAAACTAGATACTCAGCTAGCACTATTCTACAAGGTATCAACACAACTCAAATCCAGAACATGTGATTCACCTGACTAGTACGTGTATTAGCTAACAATCGAGTATGTACAAAGGATCAGGGGAAGATGTATGACACATCATATATCTATCAGTCGTCTCTCTGGGAAAACAACCAATGATTATTTCCTATCACCCACATAACAACGAAATAAGATGAGGCACCTAAAAGCGTGAATTTCATTCAATGAAAATATATCCCTTCTACTCCACTACTACTAAATTTGTATCGAGAAGCCGAAAATCTGTAAAAACTCCAATCACCAGTCGGCTAGATTTATCAAAACACAGATTCAAGGAGAATTTCGTCTAAATATTATTATTTCAAAAACTGTTGTTATTTTTAGATATTATTATCATCAATTTTAATTGACGACTGTACAGCAAGTAAATTTTGGAGAAAAAATTACAAAGAAACATTTAACTAAGTAAAACCGAATTTAAATTCTGTACTAATTGTGAACAATAATTATATAACCAAAGAAAAGGCAATAGTACATAGGAATCAATAGAGATATGTTTACTGATCAACTATTATCCTACATTGATTCATGTGACTTAACAAAACAAACTAATTCGTAGAAAATCAATGTAATGCATCAATGTACAACTAATTCATTATGACAATATCTACATAATCACTTTGACAAAAACAAAAGCATAGAACAAACAACAAATACAAAATAATCATGTCATTCTTTAAAAAATTGTTCGTAAGTTGTAAAAGATCGACTATGAAATGATCAGTGCTTTGTAGCTCATTAGACAGTCAGTAAGTTAGCTACAATGCAGAATCAATCATATATATATACACATCGATCCGAGTTGTCATACCTCATCAGCACAACACGATGAACACCAAATTCATAGAAGTAGTCACTTCAATGGTAATAATATATGAAAGAAGGATTGCATATAAGAATATAATAAAGGGAGAATTACTTCGCAGAAACAAAGGTAAAAAGTAATTTTAATTTCACGGTTTAATGGAAGACAAAGAGTGTATACACATACGCCATTGTGATCGATTCTGAGCCATACCACCCAGAGTCTCCAACCAAGTCCTTTGCATCTACCAACTTGGCTCAGATCAGAAGTTAGTGACTTTATGAATTGATGCCAAGTTTTGGTTTGGCAAGAGAATTTCCGCTAGTTTGGTGGAAAAGTATGGAGACTATTGAACTAGGAGTAGTGTGGAGAAAGTGAAACTCCTAACATTTTTTTCTGAAATTACAGTTAGACAATGAGAAACGTCAGATCAACTCGGACGACGATTGCCTACAGCAATGTCAAGATCTAAGTAACAACATATTTCCCGGTATATATATATATATATATATATATATATATATATATATATATGAGGGTAATTACAACAAACAAATGTATTAATATATATCACATCTCACCATTCGACTTTGCTAAGAAGAAATCGATCCAAAGCAGTTAATACATATATGGAGATATGGATGAGAGTATTTTCACTTAAGGTAGGCTTGAAATAAATAAAAATCCTGCCAGTGTATTATTTATGATGAAGAGGTTAGATCTTCAAAACACTTTATACATCTGTAAACTAAACTATCTGAGAAAAACTAGACAGGATTATCACTAGTCCAATTAGATTAGTTTAACATTAGGATATTTGTAGGGATATTAAAATTCGGATGAATATAACACATATTAATTATTAACTGCTTTCATAACCAGTAATAGTTGTTCGAAACAAATTGAACATATTTTATATTACACAACCAAAAAATATTTGTAATGTCAGAAAATTAATTGTAATTCTGTAACACGTTCAAAACCTTATACTATCAACTTTCTGTTTCCATTAACGAATTGTCGTAATCTCACGTTAGTGTTATTTCTGATTGTTGTCAAATGCTTTCGTTATTAAATATAAATGCAATCTATGTGCATACCGAGTCGTCGTCTCACTTTTTCTATTGTTTTTTCTCTGTTCTAGGTAATCTCACTTACTACTTCTAAAACGCCCCCAACACACAAGGTACCGACCTTTAAGCTAGACACAAACTTACCAAAGACTGAACGTCACACGCATAACCTATTCAGTGAACTTGTGTGTTTGATTAATGCATTCTAAACAGAATGTAACAAAATATACTTTGATACTGTTCAGATGTATTAAATGATTTTTTTGGAAGTCATCATTCATAAGATCAATGTTTAAAATGTTCAAAAATGCAAAGTACCACGGCAAGGACAAGGAATCGGAAAGTTTACAATTTTGCCCAATCATTGTTTTAATATGAAGTACGATAAAATATATGCCACATAGCACATGATAACAATTAATGAAAACGTTTAATAAAGATGAGGAAGATATTGAAGTAAAAAAAAACAACAATGAAATGGGGTTGATGCTAGACAGTAATACTAACCACAGGAAAAAAGATTATTCCTTGTTATCTGAGACTTTCAACCAACAATTTTTATCACTCTGAAGAATTTACTAACAAATTTTAGATCACTACGTGCAAAACCAAGTCAATAGTTAGTGATTTTGTGGAAATGATGTGAAGGCTTGATCAAATCCCCTTTCATGTTATCACAGGCTAACGTTTACTTCAATCAATACTGTGTAATAAGCGTAAATAATGATGTGAGGAAAAAAAAAACAATAACACATTTCTTACTGTCGAAATTCAATTTACAGTTGTGCTTCATAAATGAAGTTCGAAATGTTAAAATAAACAAAACACAAACATGAAGGTCATGTAAATATGGATTGGCCAAAAAACAAACATAAATGGTAGTCGAGTATTAAAATAAAATGCCAATCAATAATAATAATTCCTATTTACTTACTTATATCTTATACTGATCTCGTTTAGTGGAGTAAAAGGAGTTGAAGATTTTCAGCAACAATTTACCTTAACTAATTGATTTTAGAAACTGAACATTTTTCATGGTGAAATAATGAAGATGCAACCGAGATGGAAAGTTAAATGAACATTTAAAACAGTAAGATAAACTAACTGAAATGTCAGAATGGGGGTTTTTGGAGATTGTAGCAATTTTAATATTTGAATTCATGAGTCAATCTAAGCTAGACCACCGTTGAAAACCTGGAAACACTGAACTGCCGTCTCGTCCTAGTATGGGAGTTCTCAGTAGTGCGTATCCACGATCCTACATGCAAGACATTCTGTCTCGCGCGCGCGAACGCTTAATCGTTGCGCAAGACCATCAGTCTATTGAAGACATCAACACCGTTGGATGCCACCGGCTTAGTGATCTAGAGTTTAAGCGTTCGTCCGTGAGACCGAAGGTCCTGGGCTCGAGTCCTGCATTCAGGATCATGGACGCGCACTACTGAGTACTCCATACTAGGATGAAACGGTAGTCCAGTGTTTCCAGGTTTTCACTGAAATATCTCGTCTAAATATTACATCAATTGGTTGAAATAAAACTAAAGTCAGATTAGCACTAATGTTTTACAGATTATACGGCAAAGGATTTTATCGACTCATTTATAGCAAGTAAAAACCCCAATATATTAGGACATTAAGAAAATGGGCCTCATGAATAAAATGATGATATCGGGAATAAAATCAGAAGCGAGGAGGCTCGCGTACAGTTAAAATAAGTAAATGAACAAGAACAGTATTTATTCAGGAAAATACAACCAGGAAAGATTTCCTGCAGTTAAAAAGGTTCATCTCACTACTATGGAAAATGTAACGAGAAAATGAATCACAAAATATACTGACTTCTACACTGAAGCGTATCTTATGAACTATAAACTATTCTGAATAGTTCGATGATTGTGGTAGGAAGATTATCTATGATAAAGAGTGTGATAGTAGAACTAGCATCTACTGATAATTCCTAGTATTTCTATAATTGAAGTGGCTCTCTCATGTCAGAATTCACAAGCTTATCAACTTAAAGTTGATTCATGATACCTTTTAGTAACTGTATGGTAAAACTGCTATTCCAGGTTGGATTTTAAAAAATTAACCAGTCATTTTTGATTAATACAGAGCTTGCCATAGATGTGCATTATCCCAAGTTAACATAGCACATTAGTAGTAGTAGTAATAACAATGAAAAAGACTATAATTGAAAATATGATTTTAAAAGGTAGAATGAAAACGTATAAACAAAGGAATACTAGAACTAGAGATCTAGGGTAATATAAAGAATGAACGAACCTACGATACATAATAAGCCAAACTACTCAATGTCTTGAACCACACAGACCCCAATCTGGTAGTTTGGATCTAACAACACAGCCCAGATCGACGGTCAATAACTTTATGGACACTTTAGCGATGGTAACAATAAATTGTTATTTCAAAGTACAAATTTTCGTTTAATTACACAACTAGATAGCAAACATATTACACAGGCGAAATAGATTTTGATGCAAACACACAAAAAAACATGATGATGGTTGCTTAAACAAAGATAGAAATCACATCTTACCCTTTAAAATAACGATCAGCATATGCTTGATGTGAGACAGTCGCCATACCATGGTCAGAAGTTAGCATTAAATTTAAATTTGGTATAGATTCTATGATGTTCAATGCATAGTCTAAAACATGATCCAAATACACTAAATGTTTATGAACTAATTCATTAGATAATGGACCATATCTATGTCCAATACGATCTAATTCATCGTAGTATACCACTGAAACAGAGAAAAAGATAAAAAAGAGTAAACAAAAAACAACGTATGTAATATTCACTATGTAATAAGTCCATATTTTTTTATTAAAGTTGTATGATGGGTAGCAGTGGAATTCAGTAGTTGATCTTCGCCCTATCAAAGGTTCAGTCAGATAAATGTACCTGCATTCCAGTGTTAGTATTCACACTGAGACCTGAACCCAGTATCGTTCGCTCCAAGAATCAATGCGTTATTTCATGAGCTAGAGTTCAAATAACCTCTGCTTTGTAGCTGAGTGAATAACGCGTTGATATTTGGAGCAAAAGGACTGTGTTTAAATCTTAATGAAAGCATCAACAATGGGATATGTGTACATCCGGTTGGTTTGGTCCCAAACAAGACAAAATGCGTGTCCCCAAATCCACACCACACCATTGTCCAAATTTAGTAAAACACATGTGACTAAATGATAACAGGGAAGCCATTCACTCAGGATGCATATATGTTAAAAAGTCACTATTTATTGCAGACTTTAACAACTAGAAAGTAAAATCCCTTACAAATGATAAATCCATATATTATATCATATCTTTTGTGAGATAACTAAGAATAAGGCAATTCAGACAAAAATGAATACAAAATAGTGTTAATTCAAGTGATCTCCTAAAATCGGACAAATGATTATACAAATTAAAAAGGAAGTGATAAATCTAAACCTATTGGGTACCAAAACCAGTGATTTGTGAAGGTTAAGTCCCTCCTTGGAGTCGTAAATTTTCTGGATCCGATTCCTGGTAGGATTGTGAATAGGCATCATTGAGAAGTCCCATACCACGATGAAACAACTATTACTTATTTTCTGATTTTCAATGATTTTCTAAGTAACCTTAATCTCTTTACAACTTCCTGTACCAAAAAAAATTAACGAATTATTTTATCCGATTAGAGTCCATTTTTGTGATAGGTGCATATCGAAACGATGAAATGTGGACTAAGTGTGAGTATTTTGGGAGGAACACGCAAAACAATTGACAAGAGTACAATGATAATTTGAGCCAACTAAAATGATTTGCGCAAACATTTTACCCAAGACAAAATGCTGCTTATCTGCTCACCAACAACTAGCTAACATACTCTTACAATAGTAAAATTTTCATACACAACTGTCATAACTGTTAACTTAGACTGTTTTATTATTACAGGCGAAGATATTTGTTTGAAATCTATCCGCTGCATAGTCTGCTCATAGGTTGAGTGAAAATACAATGATTTCAGAAGAAACTAAATCTAGCCCATCCCCTTCCAAAGACATAAAAAAATTGAAAATTTCAAACTTCAATAAAACGAATAATCACTATAAACAAAGAGATGACTAGTGAACAAATTCATTAGCCTAATCCATAAATCTTTGAAGATTGAGCCGATGTTTGGTTACTGAGGTTTGAGAATTCGAACAAGAAAACCAATGACTATTGAGCACACACTAGGACGAAGCAAATTAGGAGTATTTTTAAATTCTATTGTTAGATATTAACAAACTATTTCTTAAAAAATAAATAGGAAAAAAATCTATTAGAATGGTTAGTTAGAATAACAGATGAAAACTATTGTAGATATTTCATTCAGTTTTATGGCACGGACATTCTGTATGGAACTATAGGAACAATTAAAAAAGAAAAAAATTGATCAAATAATTTACAATGGTTCAAAATTTTGTCTACCCAAACAGGAAGTGAATATAATTGTGACCGAACAGACAATTTTTTTGATTTTATAGTTAAAACTAACTTTAACAAAGTTCGAATAGTTAATAACTATGCATGAATTTATCATTATGCATGATTTATCAAGTAAGTACTTAGGATTGATGACGTGGATGGTAACATTAGTCGTTATGGAGAAACTTGTGGCTCGAAATCGAATTGATATACACGTACTTACCTACTGAATTACATTACTTATTATTTATATTACACGAGCCAGTCAAATTTGTAAAGAGTTGGTTTTTATGTCACATCATGCGCAGTAACTGTGAATTTAACATTCAACCTATGAGTTGTAAGTTTGAAACTCGTTATATCTATGAACGTTACGATGATAACAAAATCTTTACATAATGAGGCTTATAACCCAATAAGCATAAACATGTGATGACTTAATTAAATATAAATAAGAGACAGTAAAAAAAAATAATGAGAATGCCACGACACCCATTAAATCCCCTTAGTCGATGTTGATAAACAGAGGAAAAACATCAGTTACAAATCTAATAAACATCTCGGCAGACACGTTAGATTCACAAGAAATTTAGATATAGAGCAAATTACAGTGCCATATTTTGTAAGAACACATCATTACAATGTAAAAATTGTCCAGCTAGCTAAAAGTTAACAACTGAGATGGGGAATTCCCAAAATAACACATTTAGGAAGAAAGAAATCCTAAAATTCACATATTGATTTAAAGTGAACTTATTTCATTGACTTTCAATGTGCTTTCATTTGTAACAGATTATTCAATGTGAATTTAGTTCATTTTATTTTCAATTCATTGTTATTGTATTAATGGATCAACCGTGATTTTGTGTTCAAATGTCGATTATTTTGTTTGATGAAATAATTGAATAATCGATTTATAATTGAATTGACTTGAAATGTAAATAGGTTTTTTTTCTGAGGTCTCCACCGACAAATCGTTCTTACAAGATTTCTCTCTCATCCATCGTGAAGAGGATAATCGTTAAAGTATTGCGTAGTAGTCATCCGTCATTCAGTTTATCAAGTTAGTATAGATCCTGTTCCATATTGAAAGAATCTCCCATTTGTTCACAATTCAGAAAGACCGAACCTAACTGAAACTCAATTCATAAGGTGACACTTCTATTAACTTTCACAGTGCAACAAAGAATATAAACTTTTACCAAAACTGTCAGTATTAGATACACGCACAAACAATATGAGGATAGGACAAGTAAACATTTGTGAACAAAATTTGAACCATTATTAGTTAAAACAAAATGATCGTTGTTAGAAAATGTAGTTAGAGAGAAATTATATATTAAGCACACTCACACACAGAGATTTACTTACCATGCAAACACAGATCTTGACTACTTAGGAACTTTAATGCATAATAATAGTAATGATAATCGTACAAAAAGTGAAAACTAGATAGATGATTAGTTAACGTAGAGAAAAGGGAATGTAAATTAAGAACGAAACTGAAAAGCAGTATTCCGATGACATTGTCTATTTTATTCTCAAAATAGTTCAAAAACGTCTGATCATGAAAAATGGATCTTGTTTAATGTCCCAATCAAGTTTATCGACAACCATTTCTTAGATGACAAACGAGGGATAAAAAAATTGAGAAATTCGAAACATTTAAAAACCAACAAACATGATAGGAATACACTTCGCAAGTTATTATCTGTATTCTTCTAGGTTAAATAAAACACCAGGGAATTCCAATCAGCAAATAAAGTGACACTTTTGAGTACCAAGAACAAGATTTGATTGTTCACTTGTCATAGTGAGGAAGGTAACATTACGCAGCTGTAAAGTAAGATGAACAGCTAAAAATCTTAGCATACAGCCACTGACAGGGAAGTTCAAAGCCTCATTCACCCAACTTAACTTTGCCGCAAAGGTAGCATCATTAGTTTTCATGCAAGTAAAATGTGACTAAAATCCAAGAACATGAACCTGTATTTGATAAATCAGTCACACTTCTTTCACATCAAGCGAAAAAACTGTATTACCAACTCCATGATCCCATCATCACCCAGAGACATCTTGAAAAAGTCAACGATCAGATATTCGTAACTTATTTATATTTTTTTGAAATTTAGTGGGTATAGAGCTGACAACTGTAACGAGATACAAAACCAATACCAACAGAAGCCGGTACATAGTGATACCTGGTAGTAGTAAAACATGCAAGGATCTATTATTAATTAAAGCATCCGAATCCGTTAAAATCCACCAACAGTCATAGATTCTACGGACTGCTGAAATGATTTAATCAGGTTATCTTTAATCTTTTTAAACACTAAGTTACCGAAGTAAAAACAATAGTATAAAAAAGAAAGAGATTAAAATATGAAGTAGTCTAAACGTTAATTTGACCTAAGAACTTAAATATCATGGATCGAAAAAGAAATAAAATTAGTAGTTATATGCAGCTTCTAAAAAATTCTTTTATTTAAGTGCTTTCTGTTAGAAACTACCTTTTAAATGCAATGAATACAAGATACATCTATTTGAAGTACGGATAACCAGGAGATTAAAATGGAAATAGACCTAAAAATCACAGGTTATTTCGTAACTTTTGACACGATATATATATTTTTTGTCTCTTGCACAATGAATTAAATTTATTGGTCAATGTTAAGCAAAATGAGATCTGACACAGCTTTATGGATCAGTTCAAATTACTACATTTTACAATATCGCATTTACTATGTGTGAAAATTAACAAGGTGAAAATGTGAAAAGACAGTCGAAATCAGTAAGGATGATGATGAACGATCACAAAATAAGATGAATAAAGGTTAATAAGAACGTTATATATATAATGAATACCTGCTAAATGAGCACTGCCATTTTTTAACCCATCCACAGCTTTTTGTATTGTAGCATTCAAATTCATAGGATTCATAACTTCTTGACTATACGGTTCACAATACCAACTATTTTCACCGCCAACTTCAGTAGAACATATAGGCAAATGATAAAGATGAACACCTTTATTCTGTGTATGGAAAACAGAAAGAAAAAGTCAAAATGAGTATAATTTAGTCAACATTTATGCTGAAGTACAATATATATCTTAGTGACAAAACACTTGAAGAATGAAAATTAGGTAAAGACAAAGAATAGAAAATAGAACGAAGAACTCACTTGTTTTACTCCTGTCTCCCAAAGACCTTCAACTTGTGAATGAATAGGTTTACCATTAATCGTTGTATGTTCACTAAATGTTGTTGGCAGAATAACTCCATGATCACTTGGGTGACGACCTATTAACGAAAATCGGAGCATCATTTCATTTGTAAGCGTTAAGAAACTATCTAAATTATCTGTATATGCGATAGAATAATAACAATACTTGTGATCATTAAGTTCTTGTTATTATTAGGAAACAATTGTCCTAACATTAATTAAATGACTTAAAAATTTATAGCTTCCTACTAGATAACGAAGTCGCTCGAGATGAAGCCAGTCACTTGAATATGATAATTGTTTCGCGAAGAGCTATTGGTGTAAGAAACTGTTTCATTAAAAAAAATATGTCGGAAAAGGGCAGTTGAAGAAACTCAATTTGCAAGCCGGCTATAGGTTGGGTTAAAGCATGTTCCGGATGGTTTGTGTTGGAGCACGCCGGTTGGTTGTTTCTTAACTAATCAGTGGTAGCAGATACTTGAAGAAGGCTCTGGAATCTTCTTATGTAAAAATTAAAAAATATACTAACAGCTTTTCTTTTTGCGATGCCTGCTTCTATCCAACCTTGTTATTTGGAATATGATTGCGTTCCTGTTCAATCATGTTCTGGTTTGGGAACTTGTCGAGTGGAATAGCGTTCAGAAATACTAAGAGAATTCATAACACAGTATATAGACTTAAATATATCTCGAATTATTTCCTCACCACTGTGAAACTAATGATTTCCCCCTCAACCATTTATTTATTTTTTAATTTCTTATAAATCATAACAATCTTAACAATTATGAGCGATTTTTGGAATATTTCGAATAGCCATCAAGTAAGATGACAGAAATACACATTACGTCAAATGCTACCCAGTAGAACAATGATAGAGCTGTGTCGGGTAGTTGTTCTTGGACTGGATGAATTACGCGATGATGCTATGAAATAACCATAGTACGCCAGGGTATGCTTACAGAAAAATGAGTGAAATCGTCTTTAAGAAAACGACTTTATGGTTTAGATATGTTTGTCGTAATATGTCAAGACGGTTTTCGTATAAAACCACCATTTTTTGACACTAGAATTAGTTGAATAAACAGGAGAGGTGGTTGGTTTATTATATGGTCGTGAAGTGAAAGAACATTGTAACCAATTAGCATCTATTGCGACTATTTGGGTGGATTTATGAAGACCATGGGACCTGTTTTCAAAGGCTATTGAATATGACTTAAAATCGAAGTTAGTAACCATTCCAATGAGACTTTATTTCGTTTTTTGCCTAAAGTCAGATGTACTACTAATCAAAATGAAATGTTTGCCTTAACTTATACTGTTTTGAAATGGTTTTATAACATAATCGGGAATAACATGATTTTATATCTTTCATTTCCTTACAACATAATCATCTTGTTTACTGGAGTAACTCTTAACTTATATGAGATATCAGTGGTTAGGATCATCATATTAATTTATCAATTACTTGGTAGTTTATTCGCAAATCCTTGAGCTATATTCAACTTACTGTATGTAATTGATCGTTTTAGACACGAAATGCTGGACCAGTAAGTCATGGATCCATATTTAAGCTCATTTTGTATGCTTCGATCAGTGAGTCAGATAACAGAACTGGCATTCAAATGCTTTACGTGACTGACAGCTTAGCATATGCAACTATGTTCGTAGATTTTCTGAGATGTTTGAATTTAACCATGAAAAAAAGTTAAACTAAATGAGATATAATACATAAACACTGTATACCTGTGAATAGTGAGTAAATATTCGGATAACATTCTGCGGGAAATACAGGAGTGAAACGTTGCAAATATGCACCATTTTTTTGTAGTCGTTTGAATCCGAATTCATTAGTATTACTTTCTAAACGACCAGCTATTACATCCCATCTTAGTCCATCAATCAGAAGAACCAGTAAACGAGATGCAGAACCTGACGAGTCATTATCTACGATTGTCGTTGTCACTGTTGAAATATTCGTATTGAATAAACAAACTAAGATGTACATAAATGTGTATATGTTCATATTGGGAAACTGAAAAAACAAGTAGAGAAAATTTTAAAATAACACTGGGATTTAGCAATGAAATGTTGATTTAAGAAAAAGAACTAGTCAGTGAATGAACAGGTATATATTTTCATGGCCATAATATTATAAATACAATTTAATTAATTCATCACTAACAGCTGAAGGTGTTAGGACACCCAGATCTGTTATAAGATAATTAATGTAACATGGACTTGTATAGTCTACTCGAGGCATTTTTTGCTCAATTACGGGAACTCTTTGTGCTTCAACATCAGCCCATGCTGTTTTCATTTCCGGAAAATCGCAGTTATTTTCATCATGAGTTAAACAGTTGTTCCCATCTGTTAAAACTAATAGAGTTGATGGTGATAATGATCCACACTCATGATCGTAAGACCATTTGAACTCATCAGGAATATGACGCTGATCAAGAGGATAACATCGCATAAATTTAAAAGATTCTGCAAGCACATAAACTGGTCTACCGAATGAAGATGCTGTCATTGCAATTAGTGAGGAACCAAGCATATTTAATATTCCACCGCTTTCCACTACAGCTTCAGCTCCTAAAACAACAAGGTCGACTTGCGGCATTAGGTAAGCAAGAGAGTTGTCTGGAACAAGAGTACAGGAAATTTTTAATTTAGCTAACGCTTTCGTCATTTTTGCACCCAGCCCGCTAGGTGCACACGTTGTCACATAACAATGAAGACGCTTTTGAGTAGATGCAGCATACGCCAGTGCAGCAAGAACAACACGGGAATAAGAGTGTAAGAATATCACTGAACCATTAGGGATGTAGTTCAGGAAGTTTTCTGCTATTTTTCGCCTACATGAACCGACCTGTAGTGAAAAACAAAATTCCGTAATTATTAGTAGTGAACTATGCATTCAAATATTGAGATTTTAAAAAATGTTACCAATCAAGAATATTTCGTAGGCACACATTAAATTGCAACTCATGGGTAAAGTCAGAGGTAAAAATAACACAGGACTGTGAGAACTAAATTGCTTTAGTAGCGTACTAACTGCCATTCAAGAAGTGGAATACTTAAGCTTTTTGATTGCTCGGCACATACAAAAGGAGGGAGTTAACTGACAAGGCTAGTGATGATAATAAAACGATATACAAATATAGGAAGCGAACGGGATAAATTGTTAATGCGTTAGTATCTCTCAAAAGTAGAAATTTTGCGAACGATGAGAATGACAGTTCAATATAAAAACTAGCGTCTATTCATGATCCAAGGTGTAGGCAACGCTTCTCGCCTTTTTACTATTTGTACAACCAAATTGGTGTCAATAATAGTTCACCTTAGAAAATTATGCAAAGCGTAATGTGATTTGTGAGTCGTCTTTCACAAAATACAGGAATTTATATGCACGCGAACTTGGATGCGAAGAAATGACACCCGACATTTACAATACCATCTAAAAGAAATATGTTGCTAGAGTAATAAAATATTTCCATCATTACGATTTTTCCTTTAACAAAAATAATGTTAACAGTTGGAAGACTAATGATTTCAGCTAACCACAGTCCCAACTGTGACTCTGAGTTTGAAGCTACGTTGAATAGGGCATCTATTCAATATCGAAGTAGTCAACAAATGAAGTAAGTCAAGTGATAAATTGGTGGTAGGTGCTGCAAACAATGATAATTTTTGAATAAAAATAAACGTGAAGTAAACAAAAAAGACAAAACTTAAAAGTAATACATACCCAGGAAATATAAAACAGACGGTTATTAAGTCATTAGGTAGAATTTCAGGTAGTTGGGGTCTATGAATAGATAAATTAAGATTCTTCTTAGCTTACACGAACCTGAAGTAAGCATAGTAACTTTGTCGAACCAAAAGGAAAGCATGCTTGAAAGTTAGTAAAAACGTGTTTATTTTATGTATGGCATAAAACTTAAAATGCACAGGATATCAACGCTAAAACAGAAATTACCACCCATAAAGGTACAATGTGTTATCCTTACAAAATAGCCCATAAACGAGGTTTTAAACGATAAGGCTGGATACTTATGCATCTACCTCTTTCCCGGTGATCATGAAATACTCTTAATTATCGCGCAGTAAATATTTTAGGGATAGGCATTTGAACATGAACTAAGACATTGGTTTGCATTACGAATCATAAGAAATCCCAAGGAGGCAGAGGTACCATAAACCCGAAGTACAACCTTTAGCGAAAACATCTTTAAAACTCAGGTTCTCCTTTTTATCGGTGCCGATTCAAATGCAGAACACTTATAACTGATAGGGTAACTTTAATGTTGGGTAAGTGTTTAAATTTAGGATGGCAAAAGCCTGACCATTTTTTCACGTCAACCTCCTGAAAGACTGGCCTTAAAAGAAAGGTCTTTGTAGTTTTACCAGTAACAAATTTAAGGGATATTATTTAGTCGGTATGCGTGCATTAATACACCAACTAAGGACCAATTAATTCCTTCGTCAGTATACGGAGGCAAAGTTTCAAGCTAATCGTTACACAATATTATATTCAAAAAGTGTACTTATGTAATGAGAACCATTAACTCAATACCGAGACAAAACATCGAAAATATTAATTCCCTGATTAGAATGGTTGAGATTATACTCGCCTTTCTGATAAATATCTGGGCCCTCTCAGAAAGAACTTTTTTGCATTCATCAAAATCGACTGTATCCAGTGTTGCTAGCGTAATAAAACGCTGGAATAATTCACAAGCTGATATAACCGAGAGATTGCTAACTCCCTCTTTCCACATACGCTCTATAGCTGTATTCATTACATCATGAAGACCTTGAACTGTTGTGACATCGGAGCATTCATGAAGTTGCGCAAGGACTTCAATAGCAACAACAGCTTCTGACTTATCTGGATTCCTTTCACACAACACCTTGAAACGCCTAACTAGATCTAATATTTGACTAGTCATCGTGTATGAAGGACGTTACTGTCGACCTTCAGTTCACTTCAATTCTCAAGTGCATATCTATCCGATAAGAGGCTTTTTATGACCTATGTTTGTAACGTTTAAAATCAATATTTTATCTGAAGGACCTGTAACTTTTCGTTTGTTCTTGAAGATCGCAGAGAGAAAAGTGTCCATACGTTCTCTTCAATCTTGGAGAGTAACGTTATTGATATGGCGGTATCTGGTAGTTTTCTTACGACGAGAGTACATTCCTGCAGATCTAGTCCAGTTTAGTTGCCTCTTAAATAGGTTCTTTTATTTTTGATAGACTGCTGTTCACTGTATATGCCGGATAAATACTGAACACTATTATCCGCTGAGAGGTTACGAGAGATTCTAGTGAATGTTTTTGGTGTATCATGTCAAGCAAATCGTAATTTGTATTGTTAAATGATTTCAGAGAGTAGCTAATTTTTTATAGTTTGTTCTTTAATCATCTTAGTTTCTTTCAACTTGACAGTGGATATATGTAGCTGCAGTTTGGGCCATGTGAGTTTTGAATCTCGATTCAAGGTAAATTTGTTTGGGATAAGGTGAATTTTTCACTGAATAAGGAGATTAAATCCAGTTGTAACTTGATCTTCCAGTTAGAATCAGGTTCAATCGAGATTCCCGGATAAGCAAAGTTAGTTCTTTGTAGGTATTGATAAAATATGGCTGAAAAATAGACTTCCCAGTCTTGTGAAGGAGTTTTCATGTGGTCATTAATTGCGTGAATCCCAGTGGACTGCCTCATCAACTTGGAAGATAAAAGCGATAGTAGCCTAAAAATCTACTAGTATTTGGAAGATCAACCGAACAGAAGTACAGTTAATGCTGGTGGGCCTAATCATTGTTATATCAACATAATAGAGATTTGAACCATATTACTAAATTACAGTCTTCTGATGTTTCACATGATGAGACCCAAAACTTTATATCAGTATCAGTAGTGTTTTTAGACAAACTTGTCGATTTGACTGTTGTTACATGCGTAATCTTTGTTTCTTTTTTTGACTCTATAACATTTGGCAAGTTGCGACCAATTGCGTTATTTATTCATCCAAATCTACATTAGTACTTGTCAAAAGGTATTTCGACTCTGTATGCTTTCAGAAAACATTAGTTCAATATTGCAATCAGTTCTGCAAGGACAATGTGAATTATTCATGACTTCGTATTTACAATTTGTATTTTATGCACACAACTGTACAAAGATTGAAAAGCATATAACTTTAATTTTGCTTGACGTAATGTTCCTTTCAAATGGTTAGAACTGTTCTGCACGAAGTAAAAGGCTTTTGCCTGACGGACCTTTGTATCTAGTAGCAGTGGATCACTGATACCTCAAGGTATGTTGCTAGGTACATAAACGGTGAAACAGGAAAAAGAAAAATATTAAAAAATCATAGTAAGATTCTGCCCTTAGTCCTTAAGAACATGTCAATTTTTCTCCTAAATTTCTCCTAAGAAGTCGGTTAGACTAGCTCAGAAGCCCTTACGAGACTAGAACAGTTCTTATCAGATGTTTCCATCCCTATTGTACCTGTAATTATTATTTATATTGTTAAAGATGGTACAGGCATTCTGAGATTGATAACACTTAACCAGTAACACGTTCTATAATTGAATCATGCCCACCTAGTGGAGGTTCGAAAAAATATTTTGTGGGCTATCAATATGTAGGAAATCGAGTGACCTAAAATGGATAGCGACTGCAAGGGAAGTTGTGCATGGTGTTTCCACTCGTGATCTGGTGCGGATGCATGACCGAACGCCTTCAACTAGGTGAGTTCATTAAAACTAATTTGGTCAGCATCAACTGTCAAAGACTTAGAGAGCTAGTTATTATGGGAACTTTTTCACCCCCACATATGTGTGAATTTCAAGTCAAAGTACAAGACCTGTCATATTACGTCTGATTTCTCTTCTTTTTACTCATAACGCTCTCACGGAACAACTGTAGAACTTCTGACGCATGAAACACACTTGATGTACGCATTTTTTTAAAAGAGACAGGTGATATCAAGCGCTCTATAAATCTACTTTAAAACAACTATAATTTCAAAACGTTGTATTGCATAAACATTTAGAACGACCGGATTTCTCACAATAACACCAAGTTTGAAAATGGTGTGCGACGTAGACGAGATGCCATTTTTTAAAAATATTTAAAAAACTGCACTCAGCATAATAATATAACACAATCCTAACCAGAAGAAATGGACTGTCTTTTAATTCTATTGATTTCGCTTCGCTAGCAACCCTACTCGAGAGGCATATTGTAAGCAAACCAATGTCGTAACTTACAGACCATGTCTGCAAAGTTTTTGTGTACCCACCCCGGCGGAAATATATAGTAACAACCATGAGTTATATTCTTGCATCTTTTTTCGTCGAAATAACTATCTAAGGTTACAGACATGAGTCAAAGTGGTATTTGGCATATTTAATTTGCGTCAGTTGTTTTCGTTATTTACATTCCACTTGACCATAGCGAGAAATAATTCTAGAAAATGTCTCGTCCTACAAGCATAAGTTGGTTGAAGTTATCTCCCCATTATTTAGCTTAAATAATTATGTAAGTTATTAGGTACTGGTCAGATTATATGTGGCTTAAAGCATTTATTGGTTCACAGTATGCATCCCAAGCAGAGTTGTAAAATAAATGTAATCTATAAAAATGGATATCAATTCATTTGCTCAGATATACTGAGTAATTTTCAAAATATTTTCCAAAGTGGCATCGCGTTCACGTTAAACACCAGATCCAATCTCCGCAATACTGCGTTAGGATTTTGGTCGTGTTAAGTATTTATACACAACAGATTTTTAAGTTTATAGTTGTTATAAAGTAGACTTGTAGATTACTCGGTTTGAACTATGACCCTGGGAAAACACGAACGTCTAGCTTGTCTCAGATGTCAGAAGTTCCATAGCTTGCCCTCAGAACAAGAGTCTGAAAAAAGGGAAACCGAGGAGTTGCAAGACACTTGGATATGAACGACCGACAATACTTAACTGTTTGTAGTGGAAAAGACAGGTGTATGATAAATCATTAGATTAAATTCATACTAGCTCTTGTAGCTATAGTGAACTGTGATCAGTCTCCAGGTGAGAGAATGTAGCAATAAAGAACAATGAATTGTGATATTTAACAAGGTGGAGTAAGTCCAAATGAAGGAAGGGAAGTCAAGGTTGGAATGAGGAAGGCTGTTTCATTAGAACAGAAAGTATATATATATATATATATATATATATATATATATATATATATATATATATATATATATATATATATATATATATATATAGTAAAGTCCTAAGAAAACTAATAACGACATCTTTCATTGTCTGTTTTAAAAAAATTTTCCAGCCAGTTCCTGCCAAACAGTATTAATGCGAATGTCCGATTTAGCATGTTATAGGTTATTTCAGTAGAGTAGCTAGTTCAGCATAAACTTGGAAACATGTGTTTGAATGATGAGCGCAGGGGAAGAACCTTCATATCACAGATTGATTGACCTGTTCTCAAACATAATGAGCCTGATACAAACAAAACATCCTGCTCCCCAAACTTTGGTGGAAAATAATCCGTTCTTTTCTGGATGTACCATTTTCATGGTTGGTAGAGTTCTTTATGGACAGTTTCGGAGTGTTCCTGGTTTTTCACCCTAGTAGACTTCAGAATCATTAAGCTTTTTTCAGTCGTGGTTCAAGGCATTTCTAAGGCCACGTGTGTGTAACACCATTAGTATATTTCGGATTTCAGCTGGTTATGTTAGCAAACTGCCGTGTATAGGTCAAAAAAGGGAGTGGAGTTAATCTTCAAGACAGTTCATTAAACGATGTATCTGTTGATGAATAATATCCCAGTAAATATTAATACTAATATCACTGGGACAGTCATATCAATATCATAGCGAATATGATAATTAAATATTCCTAATATGCTTTTGTATAATCAAAGATACTGAAATATGCAAATATTCTCACGAAGAAATTGATATAGACCATACTTATAGTGTGAACAAGTGGACGTAAGTAAAAACAATTCAATTACATAATTGATGTAGCAACAAAATATTTCAACTTTCCATTGAAGGTGCTTGTAGGAATGAACGTTCTATCAGGTTCGTTTAGTTCATATCTGAAAGAAAGTCAGGTTTTATATGTGTGTCAAAGAAACGGTCATAAACAAGGCGGCCTGCTCGAAATTTCGGCTATCTGTTCCTGGCATTTGGATATTTTAACAAGTTATTTGTTTTCTTGTTGGTTTTAACACGTCGTTATGCCCATTATTCGCATAAGCTACTCAGGTACGTTTGTGAAAGTTTTACGGCATCGCGATCTAGAAGTTACGAAACAAAACAACCAGAGACATCGTGGTTGTTGACAATGTGCATCGAAAAAATATGCATTAATCAGACGTTGATTTCTGAACCGCTGACATCAAACTGATAACCACTCAATATTTATAGCTAGCATCGATCAAGGAATCAGAAAAAGGAACGTTTTGGAATACTTTGCGCCGAAAATTCCATATTGCACCGAAAAAATAATGTTGTATAAAGCTACTAATAATGTTATAGCGGTAAATTAATCCCCATTGTTTTTGATGGACTTGTAGTGGCATTGGACAATAGCCACACAATCCACAAAGCTGTGAACACGAGACTACACAGAAAATAGATATTCAATATTTAACGCGGAGAAATACCTAACAATGGAGAAGGCGCGAAGAAAGAGTTGAATGGACTGGAGTTGATCGAGTGGCATGGCTCGGCCATGCAGGCGTGGTCTCTGCTGAATGTTACCTTATATCTTCTATTCATATTAAATATATTGTTCTTTCTCTAGCCTAACCTTGTTCTACGTCATGTATTGGGTATTGATACGACACAGTGAGTTGGTGTAGTCGATGGTGTGACTTCCACGTAAGATCTTATAGATTAGGCAGTTATATCATGACAAATCTACAA